GTTATAAGGGGGGTGTGGAGGGGGAGGAGATAGAAGGAGGAAGAAGGTCCAAAGCTTATGGAAAGAACCAGTCAGGGGTCTGGGGTTGTGGTTCAGTGGTGCCTATCACATGTGGGGCCCTGGGTTTAACCCTCAGAACCACAAAAATAAATAAATAAAATAAAGTTATTTTGTCCAATTACAGCTAAAATATATTTACAAAAAGAACCAGTCAGTATTTCCTGTTGACTCCCCTTCTCTTGGGAGACGTTTATTACTTTGTTACCTTTTGCTCTTGCAATAAACATGCTGGGTTTTTGTTTATTTGTTTGTTTAATTATTTGTGTCCTGTTCTTCAATTCTCCGCAGAGGGGAGAAAATGGACCCTTCAGTAACAGAGGAAGGAGGATCCTCTGAGCCCGGATTCTAGGTTCAGACTAAAGAACACAGCAACCACCACTCTACCTAAAGACAAAAAAAATGAATGCAGCCTTTGGATCCCATAGGCAAGCAAAGTGGTGGAAGGCCTCTGGAAAAGTGCTTCCATATTGGGTAGAGAGAGAATGGGCAGGTAAAAAAATGGAGATTTGGCCTCCTCCCTTTGAAGCCCAGCTCCAGGTGCCCAGGCCTCAGGCTTCTGAGCCACCCCATCCAACAGCTCTGGAGCATGCAGTCCACTATACACGCCCTGCAGGGCGGTTCTCAAGTCTGCATGGAGTGGGGAATCCACTGATGGCCTGCAGGAGGGCAGAAGGACCAGTCCAGCTTTGACTATACTTGTGGCGCCCAGGGCAGAGGTCGTTCAGATCACAGCTTCCTCCTTTTTCTCACCCCATCCTGGCCCTGGGTTTCCAGCACCTAGTGGATTATCTGTAGCTTGGATACTTTGTAGCACTGTGCTGTCAATCTGGCGTCTCTTCCTTGGTGGGTCTGTTTTGGGCCCACCAGTGGAAGCAGGTGGGGGGGTCTCAAGGCAACATGGTTGAGTGGCATTCAGGCGCCAGGGGTGGGGTAATAGGGACAGGAACTTGGAGCTTCAGAAGGGCAACTGGGTGGGGGTCTCCAGGGGCTTAGAGGTCAGACCTGAAAAGCAGAGAGCAAAACCTTCCAGGAAGTGAACCTAGAGCCTCACCCTGGAGCTGCGTGCCCTGAAAGGTAGGAGAACCAGGCAGAGTTCACTACAGTCTGGAAGCCCAGCAACCCACCTGTCTTCCCAGCACCCCTTTCACCCCAGGCCAGCTTGTAACAAGTAGCTCTTTTCTTTCCTTGCTTAAGGGTCCCATCTGAACTCCACCTAACCTGTCCTTCCCCACAGATGATGGTGCAGTAGGGGAGGAAAATGGGGTCCTGAGAGGGCTCAGTCCCCCTCCATGGAATGTCAGGAGCCTCCTTCAGTAAAAGGGCCAGTGAGATTCTCACTATGTGTAAGCATTTAATGGATTGTATGTATATAATATCAATAAGATCAAATACAATGCATGTTTGTACTCGACCCAGACACATATTATTGAGATGTTTATAGATTGACCATGTTGGGTAGATTGGCTTACTTCACGGAGCATAATAGTTTCTAGATTCATCCGCTTACTGGCAAAAGACATTAAGTCACGATTTCATGATTATTTATAAATATATATTTTTAGTTGTTGATAGAACTTTCTGCTTATTTATTTATTTATATGTGGTGGTGAACCTAACCCAGTGCCTCACAAGTACTCTACCACTAAGCTACAACCCCAGAGAACACTTGATTCAGTTTGATATTTTTCTGCCTATATTAATATATTATCTTTAAATAACATTTTAATGTAGAACTATTACTTTTAGACTTTTGCTCCTAGAAATTCATTGTTAATATCTCTCACACTTACTTGGAATGCATAGAACTATTTATTTTGTATTGCAAAGGGTGTTCTGTAAATATGATACTTTAAGTGTTTCATCAGAAATTATTAGTTAATCATCTGTTCATTGCAAACATGACAGTAAAATCATATTGGGACAAAAATTATAAGTAGATAATTAAAGTTAACATTGTACAGCTATGCAATGCTATTTAAATTCATATAAAACATTGAATTCAGAAATTGTTGGTTCTGGAGATGGAAACCAAGACCTCACACATGTTGTGCAGGTGTTCTACTATGAGCTATAAACCAACCTGCTCTATTCAAATTATTAATCTATTAGAATGGTTAACCCACTGATGGAAGTCAGGGCCCTTGTAATCCAGACTTTTCACCTCTTAAAACTTCAGCACTGCCACCTGAGCTTTGGGGGACATTCCAGACCAAAACCATGACATTTATGAAAACAAAACTAAAGTAAATGGGGAAATCTTTAGAACATATGGTTAAGCAAAACATTCCCAGATTTGACAATGAAATAAAACCTAGAAAAGTGAAGATGAATAAATTAATAAACTTCTGTTCAGTGGAATCCCTGATTCAGTGGATAAAAATATAAGTTAAAGACTCAATGAACATGCAAGCTGCATGTGGTGGCCATGCCTGTCATTCCATAAACGTGGGAGGCTGAGACAGGAGGATGGCCTATGACTCAATTCAAGGCCAGCCTCCACAACTTCCTGAAACCCCATCTTAAAAATAAAAAAAAAAAAATACTGGGGATGTAAATCATTTGTAAAGTGCCCTAGGGTTCAATTCTCAATACCCCACCCACTAAAAGGAAAAAAAAGAAAAAAATATATATAAACTCCACTTTGAGCAAAGTGGAGTTTATACATTTTGAATGTATAAGGTATTCTCCAAACTCAACATAGAAAAAAACCAAACAATCCTAAAATAAAAAAGGCAAGACTCGAGGGCATTATGCTCAAAGAGAATACAGTCACAGGGAATGTGTTCAGTGTACTTTGCCATAAGGATTCCTGAACTAAGATGAGTGGGTCAATGGTCAAGACAGGAGATTGGACATCCATGGACCAGGCTACCACTTAACAAAGAGAAAATACACTGCTGACACACAACAGCTTGGACAAGTCACCAGAGTCTCATGCTGAAACTCTCTGAAAGGAAACATACCACCTGAGTCCACTGAAGCAACACTGGTCAGATGACCAGGTCACAGACACAGAAGACAACTTCAAGGCTGTCAGGGGTGAAGGATGTGCCAGGACTGGGAGGGACAGAGGTGAAAAGAAAGGGAGACAGGCCAGCTGCTCAACACCAGAGCCCTTCTGCACCCTGACTGTGCTGCTGTCAGCACCTGATGAGGCCACAACACGGGGTTTCAAGATGAGTTCACCCAGGAAGGCTGGGTAAAGGGCAACAGGTCTCCCCACCAATTCTGTCTCAGTGTGCATCTGAAATTACCTCGGTATAAAACAATTAGCCCTTTTAAAGAGCTTAGGCTTCAGGATAAAACTAGAAGTCCCTGCTCACAGGATGAAAAATACTGAAATAACAAAGTTGAATGGTCCAAGCACAGGGCCAACAGCAGCTGTGAACCACTGGAGGTGACCCTAAGGGCATAGGCAAGAGGGCTGAACCCTGCTCCCTGCTGAAATTTCAGCCTGATCTTCCGTGGTAACTATGGCACCGCGCCTTGGAAATCCACACTTCGCCTCCAAAACCCTCAATGTGAACTTTGAAAGTGGCTGCGTTTCCAGGGAGACTGGCTGGGACAAGTCTGTAGAGAAAGTGCCTGGCCCCACCTACTATCCGCCCATTCGCCAGCACCCCTGTACCCGCCTGTACTCACACAGAGTCACAACTTCTTCTCTGGCGGCGATTTCCTCAGCCAGCCAGAGTGCACTAATTGGCTGCTGTCCATGCTGCCCGCGGTGATAGACCTGAGTGCAGAGTCAGTTGCAGAGGCTGGGAGAGGAGACCTGGGCATGCTTGTATGCTCACTAGCCACGGAAGTCCTCAGCACCACGACCCCCTGGCCAGCTGCCTTATGCAGGTCTGGAGACCTTCAGGCCTGCCACGGAAATAACCCCTTCCCTCTGAGAAGGAGGGGGTGATGCTGAAGGCCCCCTGAGCCTCGAGGGGTGGGGTGAAGTGTTTCTGCATTTTCTAAACCATTTGAATGTTAACATAGAGTACCCGGTACAACATAAACACTATGTAACAGTTTAGAAATCTGCATGGTTTGGCTGGGGCGGAGGTGTGTGGTGAAGTCAGGTGCACCCAATTCATCTTTCCCTAGAGGTTGGTCTTCTGCATACCCATGGACATTTTTGTCATCAAGACTGGCAGTTAGTTGGGGATAGGTCACATTAATTCTGAAGCTCCTCTGGGTCTAATTTCCTTAAACAAAAGTCCTGGATTGTTGGTTACAATTCCATGTGGAAACAGAGAGTCTTGGAGGGATAGTGTGGCTCCATGTCTTCTGTGTACATATCATCCTTCTCTTGCTCTCCTACCCACAAAGCTACTGTGAAATGAACCTTCATTTGCAATCTATTTTAGTATTTAGAGGATTGAAATGAAACTAAGAGTATTGTTTTTTAACAGAGAGTCCCAGCCAATCACAGTAGGGAGGTCTGAACTGACCAAATGAGACAAACACCATTTGCAACCTGAAAAGCTGACTTTGTAACCGGTTGAGTTGTTTTTGTACCTCACATCTCTTTTCTGTTTGTAAATGCCTCCTGATCCTGTGGCCCTGTTCTTCTACTTTTGAGCTGCTGTATAGTGAATTGTTCTTTTTAAAAAAAGTTTATTCAATAAATTGCTTTGCTTCACTTGGTGAAGTTTCTTCATTTAAAAATGACTTTGGGATGTTTATTATTTTATTTTTTGCCAAACTTTCCCATCTCTCCCCCCTTCTTTCTGCAGCTTTTGGTAACTTCTAGTCTACTCCGAACTTCTGTTATTCTTCCTTCTTAGATATTTTTAGAATTTTATTCATCTAAATGAACTTTATACTTTTTACACAAAGTGCTCAATTTTTAAAGAAATCATGTTGGGATTTTAAAAGAACATGTATGAAGCTGTATAAATTAATATGGAAAAAATACATTGTAACAAAGACATATATTCCTTATTACTCAGACATAAAGAAGAATGAAATTATGGCATTTGCTGGAATGGATGTGTTATGGAGAGGCACTCTAGGAAACACTGTAAGTTTGAATTTGAAATCAAAAGAGAGTTTTATTTACCTTGCCAGGGACTGTCACCCACCATAGAGACTCAACCTCTGTAGGAGGACAGCAGCTTCCTGGTCCATCCAAGAAGAATATAAGCATAAAACCTACAACTTAGTGACTTGCTGATAATCATGTAAGCTAGACAATCAGAGAAATTAAAACATTAACATGTGGGACCTGTGGGCTTTAGGCAGGACTGGAAATTTCCAGTCAGCAAGCAAGTGATAAACATAAGCACTAATAAGTAGCTGAATAAGAAATAAACATATAGAAATAAATGTTTTTATATGTATTAATCATAACCAGTTAGGAAAAAACATATAGGTAAAAACATTGCCTTCATAATAGCTACAGGAAATTTATAATACATTAAAAATTTTTATTGATCTAGAAGAAAATTATAAATCTTTTTACTGAGATGCTTAATAGACCACAAGTCCTCATAGGAGGAAGGACACAGGTCTGGAGAGGAATGCCATAAATATTTGGTTTTTGCTTAGTTGAGACAGAATCTATGTTGCCCAGGGTGGCCTTGAACTTCTGGGCTCAACTGATCCTTTTACCTCAGCCTCCCAAGCAGCTGGAACAACAGGCATGCAGCACCATGCCTGGTTAATAAACCTTTCATGGCCATGATTCTGTTGTATATTTTCTTTATAGATAACTTCTTACTTTTTATAAGTTAAAAAATACTAGAAAGGGCAAGCAGCATAGGCCCTCTCTTCATTCCCTGACCCAAACTTAAGCCTCTGGAGATGGGGCTGCCCAGGGGACTCTGCTGCACAGCTAGATTTGGCAGTGACTCAGAAGCCACTTTTTGAAGAACAGAGACCTCTGAATTTCTTAGCATTCCTGCCAAGGAATAGATTTCAAATAAACACTTAATTTAAGACTTTTTAATGATTCAAACTATTGAAGACGCTGTACTTACACAATTTCAGCATTGTCTTCACAGAATAGTTTTGTGCAATACTGTCTGAATTATTTTTCTCTATAGGGAAGCTGCATAAAATATTCTACATTAACCCGGATTCTTAAACGTGAAACAGAGATAGTTCCATTACAAATAAAAATTGTGCATAATATAGTCATTTAAAATATATGTATATAATTATTATGCTTAATGTAAAACAAAACACATACAAAAATTGTTTCTAATGGCACTACTACAGGCAAGGGAAAAGCTCTTTCTTGAAGAATGACAAAAAAATCTTTATTTTTATGTAAAAAGCACAAATACACATATAGTACATAAATTGATGATGAACATATGTTGGTATGAAAATTTCAACAAAGAAGCCCAAAAATTTAAGAAAAAAAAGTGTTTCAATGAGGATTTGGTGGTTGAGACATAATGAACAAATCTGTGAAGAAATTCTATTTATGATCTTTAAATATCAACATTGGTATAAGACCAGAATTACATGAAAGTTTCTATAAATAGATGGATTTTGCAATAATTAGTATTTGCCAATTTTGCATGAAGAAATAAAATACTGAGATTGGATAATAAGTTCAATATCAGGCTGGGGGTGGGTATGCAGCTCAGTGATAGAGTACATGCATGGGCTGAGGATAGCATGTATGGGTTCAATACTACAAAACGAAACCAGTACCAAAAAAGTACAATGTTTTACTTCAGATTAAGGCAAACAACAGCCCACTTTACCAGATTATTTCAATGTGAACTAGTCTCTTCCCTGGATCCTCATCATGCCTGTATGTACATCATCTTTTGTCTCATAAAGTTTAGGAAAAGGTGATTGCCCAATTTCATCATATTATTCTCCTGCCTCAATAAACCTAGATCAAAACACCAAATACAAAAAGAAAGTCCCCAAGAGCTCAAAACAAGTTATTTTAATAACAATTGTGGTTATTATAAACATGCAAAATTACAAGCTGGATAAGGATCTACCTATAAATCCCCAATATCTGGAAATTCCTGCTGTGACATTGTTCTTTCTATTCAGGAGACCCCTCCTATTGCAACTGAAGTTTACTTGGTATTGCTCCTCCTTCAATAGAAGAGTACTCATAGTTATTTATTAAACTGACAATCTCTTACTCTGAGAAGGAAACTAGAAACATTATCACAAAACGCTGAGACTGACTTGCTGCTCATGTTTTCTAGTAAATGTGACATGTGGCCCCAGAGTCAGTGAAGACTACCCAGTCACCACCCAGTTACCAGCTCATTATGATCTCTCTCTCCACCTTAAGCCACTTTGATAAGCAGGAGAATAAGGAACACACACTTGAGCACACAATCTGATCTCTGCAACCTGAGGCCAGACCAGCAACCTACCCTTCTGGGGAGATAAGTGTTCCTCTCTACTTCCTGTTACTGTCTTTCTTGCAGCCACCCTTCCTTCCCTAATGGACTTGCTCCATCACAGGAGCAAACTGAGGGAATGCAACAGAGAACAGCTGGTGAAGGCTCCAGGAGATGCAAAGCAAAGTGCCCAAACCCATATGCCCTTTCCAGGAAGGAAGGTGGAGAAGAGAGAGGTTGCCCTGCACCACCACTTCGGCTCCTGGGAATATACCACACAAACCTACAAAAGAAAAGGAAGATTTGGTTTTCATGTTTGATGTCAAGAATCTCTAGTCACATAATTGGACCAAAAGTTCCCTCTGGAAACCATCTCAGCCTACATTTTACCTTACAGAAGAGGAGAGATGTTACCATCTGGACCTACTAAGCTAAACACAGTCTCCCAATTACAGAATGTCAGGAGGAATACAGGTCTCCCAGATTCTGTTCCACTGTTTTTCTTACTACAGTAGTCCCCTCATCCACAGTTTCAGTGCTCACTGGTTAAATAAAACTTGAATATATAAATAGGAAATTCCAGAAATAAACAATTCACAAGTTTTACGTTATGCTCCATTCTGAGTATTTTGATGAAATCTCACCGTTTCCTTCCATCTCATTCCATCAATCCCAGAACATGAAGTATTCCTTTGTAGAGTATACCCATGCTGCATGTACCACCTACCCATTAGTCACTCAGTAACCATATCCATTGCAGAATTGTTATTGCAGGTGCTTATGTTCAAGTACCATTAATGGCCCCAAAGTGCAAACTATTAAAGTGTATTATTATTATTATTATTATCATTTTACATATTATAATTAATCTTTTACTGTGACTAATCTATAAATTAAAGTATCATAAATATTAATGTACATGGAAAAACCCAGCCTATATTCAGAGGTTTTCACTTGCGGTTTTAGAACATATCACCCACAGGTTAGGGGGAGTACTATAAAATCATTGTGACTCCTTAACTAAGGAAAATTTTTAGAAAGTAAAAATTTAAAAATGCATTGCTTTAACTTCTGAAATCAGAGAGCTTACAAATGATTGTCAGTCATGTCATGTGTGAGACTGATATAAAACTGCAACCACACAGTTATCCTCTCCATTCACTTGCATGGCTTTTTCCACCCTCTAAGTTTGTTTACTTCCTGTCACAAATGGATTTTGGCTCTATGAAGATGTGTATTTTTATTTGTTTTGCTTACTGCCATATTTCCAGGACCCATCACAGTGCCTGGCACATAATAAGTCTTCAAAAACTACTTATTGGGTGGCCAAATGAATAAATACTTGCAGCTTCTCTTAAGGGGAACCATTTCCACTTAAGTGACATTCCTCGACATCCTGACTGAAACACAGGATCAACATACTCAACAGATAATCCAAAGCCTAACAAATCATGTGTGTGTGTGTGTGTGTGTGTGTGTGTGTGTGTGTGTATGTTTATTTTTCTCATCCCTCTTTGTCCCTCACTGGAACCTACTAGTTTGGCCATGCTGGTTGTGGCCTCACACAGTGGACGATGGGCACTGATATTGCAAGAAGTCAAAAAGAGGCAGGCCATAAAATGGTGTAAGCAAAATACAGAAGCATGCATTAGGCCTAAGTCTAAAGCAACCAAAAGGGAGGTGTCAGCACTAGACTGAGAACTCCAAGCCCTCTGCTGAAGTGTCTACACTGGCTGAGGATTTAAAATAATTTTCTCATTCCAATACCCAAGACTATGACTCTAATGCCTGGATTCGGATGTTGTGCCATTTCCAATTTCCCCACATTGATCTTACACAACCAGTCTTTGTATGGCTATCTTCTACCTTGTGCTGAAAATCCTAACACCAGTGATAATTATAAACAACTGGTATTACCCATAAAGCCTTCATCAGCTTAGGTGAGAAAGTATTCTACATTGTGAGTAGTGTTCCAAGACAAAGTGAATAAAGCACATATAGAATATAACTGCCCCTCTTCCAGTATGCATGGCTTTATTTCTGTATCTAGACACATGCTGTTATAAAAATCTTTCACTGCAGTATTTCATTATGGATAGTCCAATTCACTTCCTTTAATAATAATCCAGAAGCAACCTGGATTTACAATCTGTAAAATTTTTAAAAGACAGATAAACGATGCATAATTTAAAAGTAGAACCATAAAATTATAAACCTTACAATCATGATAACTACTTTTAATATAAGTGAGCAAACAAATTCTTAACAAGTAATTTTGTCTTAAATTGTTAGACCAAAGGTAAATACCAAATTGTATAAGCAGCAATAAGTAAGTCATTTTCAATGATGTTCAGAGATGCCTTTTATCTCCATATTTTGAAAATATCCATAATTATATTTACAAGCAGGGGTCACAGCTATATTTTAACATTTTTTTTTAAAAAAAGGAAAAGTAAGTAGGAATACGTGTATATTATACTCATATTAAAAAAGAAGTAATGATAAAAAAATAAATATAAACTATTACCTATAATGGAACAGAGAATAAATTTAAAGAAACAGAAGCAAAGTCAAACCTGTTGGAATATATCATGTTACATGTTATTGTTATTAGAAACCCAGATTTCATTGTTAGAGACAAAATAAAAATATAAAAAATTAAATTTGAATTGACATTCTAAGAATTCATGACTTTTCAAATGTATTTCCTTGTTCTGCCTAATGAAAGGGCTTAGAAGCAATATTGTCCTAAATTTTGAGATCCTAAATGCCAAGAAGCAGGAACACAGTTATTTGTAGTCATATTATGCCTACTTTTCCAATTATTTAAACATTGTATATTAAAAAATGTAAAAAAGAATATTGGTGGGCTGGGGATGTGGCTCAAGTGGTAGTGCACTCCCCTGGCATGCACAGAGTGCTGGGTTCAATCCTCAGCACCACATAAAAATAAAATAAAGATGTTATGTCCACTGAAATCTCAAAATAAATATTAAAAATTCTCTCAATTCTCTCTCTCTCTCTCTCTCTCTCTCAAAAAAAAAAAAAAAGAACATTGGTCATTCTAATTCTAGTAATGATATCTGCAGGTAACAATTGTAAACCCTGGGGCATGGGTAATGATCTGAAGTCACTGAAGTGGTGCTCAAAGCAGACAGGTCCTAAAAGACATTTGGTTCCTCAAAGAAGGAAACCTCACGAAAATCCAGGTTTTCGTAGCTTTTCCCAGAGGACCTCCCACTGCTCTGACTCCTTTTCTTAATGTTGGAGTGGTGGAAAGGCTCTTCTTTTTTCTCTTTATCCCCATCTCCTGCTGGCTCACAATTGCCTCAGAGTCTATGTATAAGCTTTTCCTTTACTAGGATATTAATTTCTGTCAACCCACCTCCAAAGTGTAATGAACATATAGCCCTATGTGATTCCCAATCTTAAATAGGATCTTCTGAGTGAGACATTTCCTGACTTCCCAAACTTTATCTGGTTCTGTTAAGATAAAGAAAGCTTATTACAGAAATAAGGAAAACTATTGTAACACACGCTTCCCATACTACTGTTTACTTCCTCCTATTTTCTGGTGATAAAGGGATACACCAATTAATTTTAGGAGGGGAATATCTACCAAAATGTTCAATAAAAATGTTTAATTAAATTTAGTTACATTAAGATAAGGTGGTTTCATTATCCTATGATTTGAATTTTCCCACCTACTTTTGAGAAAATGGAATAGACTTTCTACTATACAAGAGTATAGAATATATGGATTGCATTTGCCTTGAAATGTGGTTACTGCTTGCTACATTGAAGTGTGATGCTTAACATTATGTGTCAACTTGGCTTGAATAAGTCTCAAAATTTTGATGAAATTCCCTTACAGAGGTTGCTATGAAGATTTCTTTAGATGTGGCTGATATTTAAATAGATTTTCAGTAAGACAAAACACCTGTCATAATTTGATCCAATCATCTGAAGGCTTTATGAGAAAAGACTGAGTTCTTCTAAAGAAGCGTGATTCTGCTGCCAGACTTCCTTTATACTGAAACTACATCATCATCTCTTTTCTAGCCCACAGGAGTGCTCTGCAGATTTTAGAATTATCAATCCCAGCAAATGCCTAAAACTAAAGCTGTATCCCCTCTCCTCCCGCTACCACTCTCCTCCTCCTCCTCCTCCTCCTCCTCCTCCTCCTTCTTCTTCTTCTTTTCTCTCTCTCTCTCTCTCTCTCTCTCTCTCTCTCTCTCTCTCTCTCTCACACACACACACACACACACACACATGCAAACAATCAATTGAATCTGTTTTTCTAATGAACCTTGACTAATATAGAGAGAATAGAGGGAAGTAAGAAAACTAATTTCACAAGTGCATGAATCACTCTTTCTATTAGTTATTTTAATTCCCCAAGAAACCCTAGAAAGTAAGTTTAATTATTATTGTAATTTAGGAGGAGAAAAAATGAGTCCCAGAGAAGATAAGAGGTACTTTCCTGTGTAATGGGAAGCCATGCGAAGAACCTGGCATGACAGTCTTCATGCCTTCTGCCATTCTTAGATTACCTGTCTGTGAGAGGCACTGGCTAGGGAAACTTGTATTAGCCAGAGACAGCACTGCACTATGCTCCAAAAATAAGAGAGACTCTTTGGATTAGAGAAGGGCAAAAATAAACTTCAGAGTTATTGTTGGTAAGCTGTGATTGTTGCTGTGGTTTTATTAAGCAATAATTTTTTCTGACATTGTGCTGGTTTTCAGAGATTATGAGATAGTCCCCCATTTTAAAAATAAAACACAACAATATATTTCTTCATTCCATTAGTGAGCTGAGAATGGTTTTTATTTTCTTTCAAGTTTTTTGCCCAGTTTTCTTGATGCAGCCCCCACATTTGTAAATTTCACTGAGGCTAGACTAGGACAAACCTTTGTCCTCCAAATGGAGCATGTGTTTCTATTTCAAAGTCTGTGGCCCACGTGTACCTTGGGTAAGAACAATGAATGGAAGAGTTGCCAAAATTATAGTATCCTAGGGGAAAAGCAATGTAGACTAATTGTACTCTCTAAATAATAAAATAAGGTATAGGCTTCTTTGCTCAAAGCCAAAATTATTTCTATATATCTCTAGTATTTACAGTTCCCAAGAAAGCATCCCAAATTTATTCTTAGGACTATCGAATATGATGGCCTTAAGGCACCACACTAGAGGTAGAAATGAGTTTGAGTGGATGACATCTTATTAAATAGAGAGAAAGAGTTTTCTGATGTTAATATAAATGTATACTTTGATTGATTTTTTTGGAGACCCCTCAAAATATTTTAGATGAAAACATGTGTCAGTTAAAATATGATAATAAAATCAAGTCCTTTGTATATATTTATGTCACTATATTTTTATTTTGGAACTGGTTTTAAGACTGAACTTAAATTTTATAGCAATGAATTATCAATTTATTATTTCTGCTGTTTTTTTTCTCTTTTGTATTGATCACCAGCAAAACACAAGCTTGCAAGAGAAAATGTCAATATTTCAGACTAAGCAGAATGGAGGCTACCCCCTAACTTTTCTGACCTTAAATTCAGAAGAAATATATTTGATAGGAGATATAGAAATCAAAAGCAAAAAAAGAAAAAGAAAATTAGCTCAACTGGGCTTAAAATCTGAGAGTAGTATTTAGAGCTAAGAAATAAATTTGAGTGAAATGCATCTTAGAATAAAAGCAAAACCAAAATTCCAGTGAAGAAACCAAACCACATATGTAAGATGGAAAGAGTAAGACAATTCATTGGAAAAGCTAAAATTCTAATAGAAATGAGATTAGAAAGAAAAAGAAGTTGCAAAATGGATGAAAATGAAAAGAGAGATCTAAATGTTTTGAGTTTCATTTAGCAGGGCAGAGGCTCCTCCATTGCCTTCAGGTTGGATGAGTCCCCAGGCCTTTCTAACGAAAGAGCAGTACGTGACCAAGTCGCATATTGTGATTTCCTCATTTCTCTCTAATGATGACGCTTTCAAAAAGTTCCTCCTTAGTTCTGTTATTTGGAACTTTTTCCCAGTCACCAACACTCAAAATAATTATTAATTGGAGAAACTGGTTTTTTTTATGAAAACATATGCTGCTCTTTGATGATTTTCTCTATTCATGTTAGTTTTAATGTTTTTACAACTTATTGCTGTCTTTCCCCTTACTAAACATGACTATTTTGTTTTAATTAATTTTAGCATTTACATGAAAGAATACTTTGTATAGATTTATTTATTCAGTGTTTTGACCTTAATAACACTCTCTGGGAATAAAGTTATTTTCCATTATTTTGTTATTGTTGTTGTTTTTCCAAATGAAATTATGCTCTTTTTATGCATGGTATTATATTTGAAGAATGCTAATGCAATAATGAAGCCATAATCAAGCTAATTCATAGCCAAAAATGTTGTTTAAGCACCCACCAATACTGTGACTCTCTTTTAAGCTACATTTTTATGCACTACCTTTTTTTGCTGTTAGTTCTAGGGTCTTGAATTTCCAACTAGACTATAAAATCCTCCATGATAGGGACAGTATTTTAATGCTTTTATGACCTCCATTGATATTGGTATAGTGCTCAGTAAAATGTGCATTTGAATAAGTGTGTGTTGAATTGATACAGTTCTTAAACATGCATATAATTGAGTCATGTGACATCTCTGAGTTGCCAAGTTTTTGAGTTAAATGGTACTTAAATTAAAGTAGCTAGCTTCCTTAAAAATTATAAGATTCTTCTAAAATCTCATCATTCCTAATTCAATTTGTTAAAAAAGATGCATATTTCAAGAGCCAACAATTTTAGAATATTACTTATTCAATTGCATTTTTGCTATTTGACTTTAGAAATCTTAAATAAATCTTATTTAGTATACATCTTTTCTTTTTGGCAAAGAATATACTTAAAGTGTTAGAACTACATATGTTCATTTTTGGCAATAATTCTTACTATATTGGCAAGGTTCAGTTGTTTCTTTTAAGATATTTGTATTTCTTAAAAGCTTCACAACAAAAAATAACAATATGTGAATTATGTGAAACTGAAGTTCATTCTGTATGTTGTGTATAGATTTATCTTCTCATATACTAAAATATTTGGTGTCCTCAGTACATTTGTACTGGCTCTGGTACAATTTAAACCTTTGGTAGCTCTCAGTTTTCCTAAACATTTTTTTAAAGTTTTTTGTTGTTGTTGTTGTTCTATCTCAGAATTATTTTTGTGTGTGAGAAAGTTCTTGACTTAGAATTAAAAAAATGTGTAAGAATTATAAAAACTTTCAGATCCATGTTGTTTTAGAGATTTATTGGTTAAAAAATTAACTTTTTAGTACTCAAAGCTACTCTTTTTTTATATATACTTTTTAGGTGTACATTGACAGAACACAATGCCTTTATTTTTATGTGGTGCTGAGGATCAAACCCAGGTTCCACCCATGCTAGGCGAGAAAATCACAGCCCTCGGAGCTAATTTTTATGTGAAGTTGCCTGTGTGCTTCTCTCTTTCTCTCCTTCCCTCACTGAATCTTGATTTCTATGTTATCTATTTGTCAAAGCCATCAGACTTCCATATGTTTAATAAAAATAGTGTAAATGAAACATTAGTTTTTTTATAATTAGTTGATACCTTAATAATTTTAAAGAATTTTTTATCAATTTCTTTTGGTATTTATGCTTGTAAGAAAAAATTAACATTGACATTCGTACAAATACTATTAACATTCTGAAAATGGTGAATCCACATAATGAATAATTAAACAATTTAGGGTAGTTTTTCAGGGCTATTCTGTAAATTTTCATCCAGGAGATGAGGCCTGAACATATTTTGAAGCAACTGTGTTCAGGGAAGTGAAAATATAATATACTGGATTTATGTGTAGAGGGTAAAGAGATCAAGAAAGTTCAGATCTGTCATTATTTAGAGTTAGACTTTATCCTTTAGTTGGTATAGAATTGTAAAAAAAAATGTTTAAAAGATAAAAAAAATTGAAAATTGAACAAGACAGTATGTTAAACTGAAAATTAAACAGGACAGTATGTGATATGTATTGGAAGGTAATAAGAAAGATAATTCTTTTTGTTCTTTTTAGACAATTTCTAGGGTGGCTCATGGGCCCCAGGAGGAGAGATCAGAGTAAGGTGGAATTATATCATTTATTAAAAAGAAATAAGAACTCAATAGAGAAGGAAGGATTTTAAATGTACCTAATAAAATACCTTCCTTAGCCTTTTTTTTTTACAACAGATAAGTAATGTGCAGAGGTAGTGACAAGGTGTAGAGCAAGGCATATCTCCCACACCAGCCACATGAACACTCAATAATCATCACACTTATGAACCAAAAGTATCTTTATTCTATTTTTATAAGTTACAATAAAGATTGTTGTCATGATGAAATAAATGATTAAAATTTAATTCATTTTTATATAGGTCATAAAATCCATGCAATCAATTATATCTTGGTTAGTATAACAGATTGAATCATATCATACTGTTGGCATAGGCCTATATTTTTATTATTCTTTTCCTTATGACCTACTTTATCAGGAAGGGCCTTTGGACTTTCAGGAGTAGTTTCTTAAGCTTATTTATTAAATTTAACAAGCTTTTCATAAACTTCCTTAACTGATTTTTTCTTAGGGAGTTTGGCTATAATCCTTAACTGTGTATGAGAATTGGCTGAATTATTGCAATTGTTGCAAGCTGACCTATTTTCCAGGATTGCTATGTTTACCTAGAAAGTAATGTTAATTCCCCTAGACTCAATGGTCACATGAGAGGTGAGTAATATTCCAATAAAAATAAAGCCAAACAAAAACCATTCAATTCCCAGAAACATGCTGCACTCCCCTGGAGGTGGGTTCCCTAGCACCATCCACCTCAGGAAGACCTTGCCGTTTCCTGGGTCAGGGGAGGGGTGAAGCAATTAACCAGTCTTCTAAAAGTTTTACCTAAGAGTACCAACTTATTTGTAAGATAAAGAAAAGTCAGATTAAACTAATGTCCCCTAGTAAGTCAGATCTCTAAAAGTAAGAAATTTTACTTTCTTCAATTCCAAGATGAAGAAAGTACCCTACATGTGAGTGTACTCAAATAAAACAATGAATAATAAATGACATAGGGTGAGAGTGGTTTATCCATATAACTACCATAAAACACTCAAACAACAAGTGCAATAACCATGTTACTCTCATCTTTGTGCAG